AGTGTTCCTCTTTCTCCGCATCCTCTCCAGCATAAACTGTCATTGGTATTTTTGATTTTAGCCATTCTGACAGGAGTAAGATGGTATCTCAGAGTTGTTTTGATTTGCATTTCCCTGATGGCTAAGGATGTTGAACACTTTCTCATGTGTCTTTCAGCTATTTTAGATTCCTGTATTGAGAATTGTCTATTTAGTTCTGTATCCCACATTTTAATTGGGTTGTTTGGTGTTTGGGGGACTAGCTTCTTGAGTTCTTTGTATATTTTGGAGATCAGCCCTCTGTCAGATGTGGGGTTGGTGAATATCTTTTCCTAGTCTGTGGGCTGCCGTTTTGTCTTGCTGACTGTCTCCTTTGTTGACTGGCACTTCTAATGATAAGCTTTGTTTTCTTCTCTTGAAGCCAGATGGCCTCTCATATACTTTATTTAAGCATTTGTGTGCGTGCGTGATTTCTCACCTTCCTTGTAGACACCAGCTAGCTAGCCTGTGATGAGTTTCTCATCTCTGTAGGAATGTGTACAAGCCCATCCACCTTTTTACCTGGGTTCCAGGATTGACTCTAGTCATCAGGTTTGTGTACTAATGCTTTTACTGCTGAGCTATCTTCTTGACCACTCAGTTGTTTATTTTGAGAAAGATCGTGTTAGAAGACCTGGCTTACCATCTGAAGCCTCTCTGGTAGTCAAGTAGCAGCTCATTTGGTTCCCTTAGTTACTTTATGTTTTTTTACTTTTTGGACTTGAGTGTTATGTTTTTAGACATTAAATTATGAAATAGATTAAAATATTTTTGAAATACTATTATACTTTATATGTAAATAATATGAAACAACTATTTGTGATTTTAGAACTATTTGAAGCTTACTTTGAAACTTGATTATTACAATTTATATTTTAAGAAAAGTAAAAATATTGAATAAAACAAGTACTTCTTAAATTTTGAGTATTTTAATCATAATTCTGTTCAGTGCTAAATGATTTCTAATCAAATCATTTGAGGCTCCTTTTATTGCATTAGAACTGTCACCTATAAACTGTTTCTGCACAAATGTTTTATGTGACTGACTTTTATGGTAACATATGTCATCTGTTGTCCCTACTTAAAGTGATAAGATACTCATTTATTGATAATGCTTATCTGTATATTTTTATTCTAGATGTTGTGGTTTGACTTGTAGGATTTTTGTATGTTGTGAAGTTTAATACATTATAAAATGATATATTCACTGGTAAAAGAAAGTTTCTGTGTTTCTGACTATTACATTGTCTTTCTTGCCACAGTAAATCAAGAGGAATTCATTGCTATTATGACTGGCGACATATAAAGGATTACATGAGTCAACACCAAAATGTTGCAGTTACCATCTATATTCCCCTTTTGTGACTGAAGTCCTGTTTAAAAAAAAATCCAACTTACTTCTTTCTCCAAAAGGACCAAAACTAAGCATCCTTTTATTTACATTTCACTGCTGTTAAGTTTCTTTGTTATCATCAATAGTTTTAACTTCACATTTATAATGCAGGTTTATATAAAGCTTAAAATATCAAATCATGTGTTGTATATTATTTGGAAGCTTCTAAATTTAACATTAGCTAATTGCTTTTATTTTGGTGCCCTTGATTTTTAGACATTCATTAATAAAGTACTTATTTTATTAGTATCTTAAGTTTGGTAAATTTTCTATTTTGGATTTCCGATATCTGTTAACATTTAGTAGACGATATTTCAAATCTTTTGTCTTTATACTTTCACTTGTATTTGAAAATAAATCAGAAAATACAAATGACAATAGAACATTGGCTATCACCTAAGGGTTCATCAATCTTGACATTTTGCATTTCATTGCAGTATAGGTCTGATTTCTTCTTAGGAGTGCTGTCCTTCAGTTTTCAGGGACTATGGGGTGTATATATATGCCCATCTTTCCTTTGTAGTATATTTTGGAAATCTTATTTTGTAATGACAAGTTGAGCTTGAATATTTTCTCACTAAAATACTTGAATACAGTTGTAATCATTTAGCTTCTTAGCAAAATGAAAGATTTAAATGTTGGATTTTGATGTGGTAAGACAACGAGGAAAAGGGAAAATGGCAAGCCCTAGAAAACACTGTGGGCTTTGCTTTCCCACAATGTGTCATGAAAAAGTGGAGATAGACTCTCCAGATTTTAATGGATTGTTCTGCCTTATTGAACTTAGGGACTAACAAAGGATTATGGGAAGTAGGTAACAGAACAGTGGTACACTACTACATCTTCAGTAATCCAGTTCTGATTATATGAGTTCTCCTAAGAAGGAAGTTGAGTTGTTAATTTCTGTGACTTTTCTTTAAATTAAAACAAAAAGAAAATCAATACAATTTGAGACAGTTGAAATACTTTGAGCCTGCTAGAGTGGTTCAAACTAATAAAGCCAGGGCTTTATTTTATCTGAGGCATGTGTGAAAGTTGCCCCAACGAGGAACACTCAAAACGTTAAGTGTTAATTAGTTATTATATAATTATGTATAAAATCTGTTACCTTTTTATTAGAAGTTCAGAAATTACAAATGTTATACTGAGACTACGTAAACATTTCTCAGTATGCAATGATTTTTAGGAAGATGACATTTTATAGAATCGAAGATCAGCAGGCTACCTTCATTTTATACTTAATTAACAATATTTTAGAATAGATTTTCTTTATTCCATAATAAAAGAAATCAGGGATACTTAATAGAATCCCTGGAGGTCGACATTTCTGATTTTAATATGCTTGTAACATTTGTCCAACACACCACTGTGTTCTCTAAAAAAAGCGATCATTTTTCTCTGTATGGCACTACCATAGAATACCTGTTCCCAGGGTCTTCCAGAAGGCCCATGCCAACCTGACAGCAAGGACACACGTGCGCTGTAGATCATGAATTCCTGTGACTTACTAATGAAAGCCTACTTCTGATAGATGGCACTTTAGAATAAAAACCATGCAGTGTATATCAACTAAATGCTGAGTGATAAAAATATTTCCAAATCATATTTTCTACCATTGAAAGCCACCTCAAATTTAACAGCAGGGTAAAGGTTTGGGGTTGGCCTACTGAGGAGTAATCTTTCATTATAAAATGTGCATTTTGATTATTCTCAAAGTTCATGCATTTGAATTCCCTGCCAAACAGGTAGATGCAACAATATTTTAAACAAGATCTACATTTCCTTTTTTCATTTTCCATGAAGATCAAGTGTTCAATTAAATCTGAGTAACTGGCCCAGACTATACTTTATGGGAGATTTCTTCTGTAGCAATCTTGCTGGGTGATAATTGTTGGGAACCTAAATCCCAAGGGATGGTGGGATCATTTTCAACATTGGCTATAAAAAACAAAGTAACTCCCTTAAAATTAGTGGAGGAAAAGATGAAAGATTTGTATTTTAAGATTTCAAATCTAATTGGCTTCACCACTGTGCTAAAGATTAATATGAATTGAAAAGACAAATGAAAATACAAACTGTTACAATTAGACTTACTCTGATATTTAAATCATTGGTCCATGAGCCCAGCTGCCTATAATTCTGTAATTATTTATATTTCTGTAATTATCTTGGAAAGTCTGGTATCTTCAGGACCTCTCAGAACCTTTTATGTACACAGACCCAGAATAGGTAGGATATTGTTTGAAGGTAATTTATTATTATCATTATTTTCTTTTAATGCTAGGGATCAGACCTAGCACCTGGTGCACACTAGGCAGGCACGCTACCACTGAGCTGTCAATGAGGGTGGATACAGTGGGAACTGGTAGAAGTCACAGGGAAATGCTAAGCCTGGTGGGACTCTGATGGCAGGAAAAGGACTGCCAAGTCATTACTGGCCTGTGGCCTCAAGTGATTTGCATCTGACCTTGAATGTCTGAGGTCCCTGATGCATTTGAGGTAATAATTTTAAATTTAATTTATTTGAGTGTTCATACAAATGCTCCATTCATTTGGAGGAAGTACAATCTGAGGAACTCTATAAATTATACACTTTTTTCCTCTTTATTTAAATTAGAAACAAGCTTCTTTTACATGTCAATCCCAGTTCTCCCTCCCCCTCACCCAAGGAGAGTGAGGCCTTCCATGGGGGAATCTTCAAAGTCTGTCATATCATTTGGAGCAGGTCCTAGACCCTCCCCAGTGTGTCTAGGCTGAGAGAGTATCCCTCTACGTGAGAGGGCTTGCAAAGGCCATTTGTGCACTAGTGGTAAATACTGATCCACTACCAGTGGCCCCATAGATTGCCCAGATCTCCAAACTGGCTTCCTCATTCAGGGGGTCTGGAACAGTCCTATGATGATTACCCAGCTATCAGTCTGGGGTCCATGAGCAACCCCTTGTTCAGATCAGCTGTTTCTGTGGGTTGCTTCAGCCTGGTCTTGACCACTTTGCTCATCACTTTTCCCTCTCTGTACCTGGGTTTTGGGAGTTCAGTTCAGTGTTTAGTAGTGGGTGTCTGCTTCTGCTTCCATCAGCTACTGGATGAAGGCTCTAGGATGGCATTTAAGGTAGTCATCAACCTCATTATTGGAGAAGGGCTTTTAAAGTAGCCTCTCGACTATTGCTTAGATTGTTAGTTGGGGTCAACCTTGTAGATTTCTGGACATTTCCTAGTGCCAGAATTCTCCTTAAACCTATAATGGCTCCCTCTATTATTTTATCTTTTCTTGCTCTCCTCTATTTTTCCCCTGACTAGATCTTCCTGCTCCCTCATGTCCTCCTCTCCCCTCTTCTCCCCTCCTCTTTCTTCTAACTCCCTCTCCCCTTCCTCCATGCTCCCAATTAGCTTAGGAGATCTTGTCCCTTTCCCCTTCTCCATTGGACCATGTATGTCTCTCTTAAGGTCCTCCTTGTTTCCTAACTTCTCTGGAGGTGTGGATTGTAGGCTGCTACTTCTTTGCTCTGGCTCTAAAATCCATATATAAGTGAGTACATACCATCTTTGTCTTTTTGTGACTGGATTACCTCATTCAGGATGGTTTCTTCTAGTTCCATCCATTTTTCTGCAAATTTCAAGATTCCTTTTTTTTTTTCCCCACTGTGTAGTACTCCATTGTGTGAATGTACCACATTTTCTCTATCCATTCTTCGGTGAGGGGTATCTAGGCTGCTTCCAGTTTCTGGCTTTTACAAATAGTGCTACTATGAACATTGTTGAACAGATGTCCTTGTCGTATGAATGTGCTTCTTTTGGGTATATGCCTAAGAGTGGAATTGCTGGATCTTGTGGTAGACTCATTCCCATTTTCTTGAGGAGTTGCCATACTGATTGACTGTACAAGTTGGCACTCCCACAACTTTCTCCACATCCTCTCCAGCATAAACTGTCATTGGTGTTTTTGATTTTGGCCATTCTGACAGGAGTAAGATGGTATCTCAGAGTTGTTTTGATTTGCATTTCCCTGATGGCTAAGGATGTTGAACATTTTCTTATGTGTGTTTCATCCATTTTAGATTCCTCTGTTGAGAATTCTCTATTTAGTTCTACACCCCGCTTTTTTAATTGGATTATTTGGTGTTTTGGTGACTAGCTTCTTGAGTTCTTTGTATATTTTGGAGATCAGCCCTCTGTCAGATGTGGGGTTGGTGAATATCTTTTCCCAGTCTGTGGGCTGCCGTTTTGTCTTGTTGACTGTGTCCTTTGCCTTACAGAAGCTTCTCAGTTTCAGAAGGCCACATTTATTAATTGTTGATCTCAGTGTCTGTGCTACTGGTGTAATGTTCAGGAAGTGGTTTCCTGTACCAATTCGTTCAAGGGTATCACCTACCTTCTCTTCTAATAGATTCAGTGTGGCTGGATTTATGTTGAGGTTTTTGACCCATTTGGACTTAAGTTTTGTGCATGGTGATATATCTGCAGTCTTCTACACACCAGCCTCCAGTTATGCCAGCACCATTTGTTGAAGATGATTTCTTTTTTCCATTGTATAATTTTAGCTTCTTTGTCAAAAATCAGTTGTTTGTAGGTGTGTGGGTTAATATCAGGGTTTTCAATTTGATTCCATTGGTCTACCTGTCTATTTTTGTGCCAATACCAAGCTGTTTTCGGACTATAGCTCTATAATAGAGCTTGAAGTCAGGGGTGGTGATAGCTCCGGAAGTTTCTTTGTTGTACAGGGTTATTTTGGCTATCCTGGGTCTTTTGTTTTTCCATATAAAGTTGAAAATTGTTCTTTCAAGGTCTATGAAGAATTGTACTGGGATTTTGATGGGGATTGCATTGAATCTGTAGATTACTTTTGGCAAGATTGCCATTTTTACCATGTTGATTCTACCTATCCAAGAGCATGGGGGAATCTTTCCATTTTGTGATATCTTCTTCAATTTCATTCTTCAATGACTTAAGTTTTTGTCATATAAGCCTTTCACTTACTTGGTTAGAGTTACCCCAAGATATTTTAGGTTATTTGTGGCTATTGTAAAGGGTGTTGTTTCTCTGATTTCTTTCAAAAATAGGTGAGTGGCAAATTTCACAAATATATTAGGATTACTAAATTAAAAACAAAATGCCAACTGTAATGAGAAGGAAGAATAG